GGGTAAGTATGAAGGAGATAGTTAACACACCCTATAATCAAAAACAATTAAATTTTATAAATATTTTTTTCTTTATATTAAAAAGGAAATCAATTATTATAAGTGAAAATCATACTTTACTAATTTACAATATATACTAATGGTAAATACATCGATTTAGGAAAATGGGTGTGGTCCATCCCCCTCTAACCTAAATAAAGTAAAAAAAAATGACATAACATGTGAATATTTAGGAAATTTTATATTAAAAAAATATAAAATTAATATAAGAAATTAACATAAAAACGTATCTTACTACATTACACAACTCTAGATATAAGCTAAACATATTTTACCACATTACACGACTCCAACTGCCGGTAGTATCAAGGGGGCTAGAAGGAGTATCGAGCTTCCAAACTCGCTTGTCCACCATGTTTTTTCGAATTAAAAAATAATTCATTTGAGTGAGGTTGATTTTTTTGAAGTAGGTCATCCTGGGTGCTGGCAGCAGTATGACCTAAAATTCTCAACGCTACTTTTAAATAGTAAAGTATAAATAACTGTAGATGTTTGTAAAAAATGAAAGATAATAATTGTCTATTCAGAAAACCACTTAAATTCAGGTAAAAATAAATTATTATTATTATTATAGTTGTAGCCGTAAATTTACATAGAATGTACACATACAGCGAGCAGGGGAAACACCCCACTATAAACAACCAGTTTTATAAATATTTGTTCCAAACTTTTTCCACAACCAGGAGTCTAGTCTATTTTTGAAAGAAAGTACAGTGGAGTACAAAGTTATTTGCTCTGGTAGATTGTTCCAGTATTTTGCTGATCTATTATACAAATGATTATATCTTGGAAGACAGTTTAGAACATACTCACGCCTTATTTTAGAATGGTGACCACGAGACACGGAGTTAATATATTTTGGTAGATATTTATCATTAACTATATCAAAACGATGTATTAATTTAAAAATTTGGATTAAATCGCATCGAAGGCGTCGAAACTCAAGTGATGGTAGGTTTAATCTTTTTAGCCTTTCGCAGTATTGAAGATGCCTCAAGCTGTAAGCCCATTTTGTAGCTTTGCGTTGAACAGATTCAACCAAAGCCATATCAGCTTTTAAAAAAGGAGCCCAAATGGACACTCCATATTCAAGATGTGGTCTTATAAATACTTTATATAATTTGAGAGCCATTTTTTCATCAATGAAAGTGAATGTCTTTTTCAGCATATCGAGAATTTGTAAGGACTTAGAGACAACTGTTTGAATATGAGCGCTCCACTTGAGGTTAGATGTAAAAATGACTCCTAAATCACGTTCTTTAGTAGAGCTTCTTAGAGATTGGTTGATTCCTTGGTTATTTTGAAGAAAGTAATTGTAATGGGGGTTGTTTCGACCGTAATGAATGACGCAGCATTTTGAAGTGTTTAGCTTAAGTAACCAAGTGTTTGACCACTCGTATATCAAGCGTAGACGATCCTGCAGATCAACAAAATTAGATTGCGATAAGGTTTTAGAAAAAAGTTTAGTATCATCGGCAAATATCTCAGAAGTTTCAGTGAGTTTTGCGAGATCATTTGTGTAGAGAATGAAGAAGAGCGGGCCGAGAACAGAACCTTGAGGAACACCACTGAGAACATCAACCCATGCAGAGCTGGTATTGTTAATTGTAACGCGTTGCTTTCTGCCCACTAAAAAAGATTTAATCCATTGTAGGAGTTTGCCGTTTATTCCGAAAGATCTTAATTTTAACAAAAGTCTGTTGTGAAGTAAGCATAAGAAAATACAGTTTTATGTAATTAATCCTAGAAATGAGTTATTTTAGAATCCATACAAATACATTATATTCGTTCAATTTTTTTATTAAGATATACTTTGATGCTGATCAATGGGAAAAAAACAGAGAAGATGGATCAAGAAAACTCAAACATAATGCAATTCCTACTGTCGTTAAACATGTTAGAGCAAAACATAAGCGAAAAAATCCACTCGACCGTTTTCCAATACCAAAAAAAAAGAAAATAAGTTGTATAGAAAGAGAAGAAGTTGTGGAAAATGTTTTAATTGAAGTAAATAACAATGAACTATCTGAAGTTTGTACAACTGAGGTTGATAAAAGTTTACTTATACAAGATTTAAATGCGAAATTGGAGAGATTAGAACAAAAAAGTCATTAATCAAAAGAAAAAAATTTACATTTTAAAATCGAAAGCAAAAATAAATACTATTCAAAAATATAATCATATAAAGAGAGATAAATTTAGAGTTTTGAAAACAATATTTAAAGAAGATCAAATTTTATCTTTAAGTAGAAAAAATATAAAATTCATTAAATGGTCAAATGATACTATAAATGAAGCGTTAGAACTCAAATTTTCATGTGGTCATAGTGGTAATGAAAATTTACTTCGTTTAAACTTACCATACCCATCATTACGTCCCCTACGACGAAGATTAAAAAAATCTAAAATTTCAAAGTGGCATTCTAACAGAAGTCTTTGAGTTTATGAAAACTAAGGTGAATGCCATGAAAATCCATGAAAAAGAATGTGTTTTAATTCTTGATGAAATGTGAATAACTGAACGTGTTGACTATGACACATCTACAAGCTCTTACTATGGAGTTGTTACATTACCTGAACATTATGGCCAAGCTAACCATGCTTTAGTTTTTATGCTTGGAGGAATATCTACAAGATGGAAACAAGCTGTTGCATATTAATATACTGGAAGTTCTGTTTTAAAAAACATTGTCCTATCTATAATAAAGTATACTGAAGAAATAGGATTAAAAGTTAATAGTGTTACTTCTGATATGGGTGCCATTAACCAGGCAATGTGGAAATGTTTTAATATTAGCTGTACTAAAAGTGGCAGTATTTTTAGTTCAATTTAACACCCATGTGACCCTACTCGTACAATTGATTTTTTAGCAGACGTACCACATTTATTAAAGAATATAAGAACATCTCTTTTATGTGACAATCATTTTATAATAACAGCTAAGATTCAAGAAAAATATAAACTTCAATCGCCAATTATAGATTCAAAACACCTTAACAAGCTTGTAGACTTTCAAGAAGGTATGGATTTGAAGTTTGCTTACAAGCTTACATCTGAACATCTTGATGAAAAACATTTCAACAAAATGAAAGTATCAAGAGCAACATCTGTAATGAATCATGATGTAAGTTGTGGATTAAAATTTATTGCAAGTGAAATAAAAGATGATTCTATTCTCACAACTGCTCGGTTTATAGGAATTGTTGATAAATGGTTTACATTAATGACTTCATGAAACCCAGGTATGGCTCTTAGCATGAAAAATGACAAAGTTTACAATGAAACAATAACTTTTTTAAATGAAGTCATAGAGATATTCAATGGTTTAAAAATATTAGGCCAAACTGAAAAAATAAGATGGAAACCTATTCAATCTGGTGTTATATTATCAACAACATCAGTTATTAATATGCAAAATAAGTTTCTTCTAGAAAAAAATTTTGATTTTCTAATGACATCACGATTTACACAGGATTGCCTGGAGAATCTTTTTTTCCTGGTACGTGCAAAACAAGTAATTCCTATTGCTCTTTAATTTAAAAATAACTTGAAACTTATTTGCGTTCCCCAATTCTTGAAAAAATCATCAAAAGGCAGTTATACTATAGATGACCGTCAGCTCTTATATGGTTTTCTTGATATAGTTAATAGTAATGTGCATAAACCACAGCAAAGAGAGTGCATTTTGTTACCTAAAGATTGGGATAAAACCTCTAACTTAATCTTAAGTAATGCTAAGCAAAATTTTATATAATTTTATATAAAAAAAGGTTATATAATTTCTGGAGTTAAAAAATTGAAAAAGTTTGCACAATTTGTTTTGAATCTCTAGTTTCTAAAAATAGAGTTAATGCTGATTACACAAAGTTTGTTACAGACAAAGAGCACAAAGTGGGTAGTTTATTTTTTGCTAATGAAACAACATTTGCATTCTTTTTACAAATGGAGTTAATATTCAGATCATTTGAGCCATACCTTAATTCCTAAAAGAATTGTAATATTATGCTTTTAGAGAAAATTAGTTCTGATGAACAATATAAAAGTCTAACTTTGTATCCTTGTTGTCATCAAATTAAATTGAAGCTAAAAAACAGGTTTATAACATTCAGATTTAAAATATTTAACCTTAAAAAAAAGCGTTTATTATGTAAAAAGAAAAAAACTAAAAAAAGTTCTTGTGAACTTGGCAGCAAGAGTATGACAATGCATGCATTTGCACTAAAGGTTTAGGTTCAACTAATTTATAAAATAAACTGTAAAGCTTTTTTCAAATTACTTATTGATTACAACTACTTTTTTGCTGTGTTTTTTTTTAAAGGTATTTCGTAAATAAATAAATAATTTTGTCGAAAAATAATTTTGAAAAAATAAAACATAAAAAGGTTTAATTTTTAAAAATTTATTTCTGTTTAAAACATTATTGTGCTCATTTTCTTTCAATTGTTTTGAATGTCATACGCTAGTTTGGCAAAAACATGGCCGCCGTTCTTTCGTATTTTCCGTATGTCCGCTCTCTGAGTATATAGGCTCTCTAGTTTTTACAAAAATTACAAATCTTACAACTTAAGTCAATATCTTACAATAAAAGTACAACGCTAATTTTATTTTTAAAGTTTAAATCTTTCTGTAGTAGTCAAAAGTACGGCGTTAGATTTTTATCAAAAATAGAAATATTGGAGTAGAAGTCGTAAGCTTATTTAGAGGCTGAGAACGTGGTTAACGCATTCCTTAAAATTAAATAGTCATCAAGAAATCTATGAACAAAATTCTCTGATTAAATATTGTTTTTGCGAGTAAGTCTGGAAAATTTAAAACTCTGTTGAAGAACAGTTACGCCAAGAGTTACGCCAACGGAGAACAATTAAAACAACTATGTTTAAGTGCTAACTTCCAATCAAACTTTTTTGTTTTCTTTATATATTATGTCATACGAGAAACATTGTAAATATAAATTTTTATTATATAAAATGTTAATACAAAATAATATAAAAAGCATTATATTGCGTGCATCATTAAACAATAGTTCTGGGATCTTTTTCTAGGATCAAGCTGTTATCACTTGAAAACTTATTCCAACACCATTTTTAAATGTTTGTGCATTGTTTATTGTGCTTTGTAAAATACTTAATAGAAAAATATGCTGGTTTATAATTCTAAACGTTCTTTAGCTATGTTTGGTTTTTTACAGCTTTCTCTCAAAATATTTAAAACTGTTGATATAGTTGTATAAAGGTGTCCAAACAATTATGAATGATTGAAGTTGTTTTAAAGCTTAAACTAACGGAAAACTGGCTTTAGTTGCAATACCACATTGATTCGACTTATTTCTTGACATTTTAATATAACCTTGATCTCCCCACATTTTGCCCCAACTAGGAAAACATATAGTTAAAGATATGCATTTAAATCATTTTACCATTTTTTAAAAAACACCAAGCACATGAATAATGATTAATACCTGTTTTTTACAAGCCAAAAATCGCGACCTTTTTCGGTACCATAACCAACGACTAAAACACCATGAGTAAGATTCTGTATAGCATTGCCACAAGTTGGCTCATAATACACACCTGACTTATAGCTCGCAAAAGAACTTTTACTAGCATCAATAGTAACAGATATTGGTCCAATTGTAGCAACAGCCTCTTTAAGAGCATTTTCATTTCCAGAAGGTATGTCAACAAAACCTGTATCAGATGCTACACTGTATTCCTCTTGGTAGTAACAATCGTTAAGATCCTAAAAAATACTCAAACTATTAAATAACTACTTTAAATGCAATACTATAGGGTAAATCATTTCAATAAAAATGCCTGTTTTTATATGTTTATAATTAAATAATGCGTATAAAAAAAAAACTACCTATAAAACGCAATTTGCACATAGTTTAAAAGTGTTTATTAACATCGTACTATATTGTCTATTATTGTACTAGATCAATAATTTTTTCGAAAGTTCAATTGCTAGTATTGTTAATAACAAATATTTGAGTAAAATTATAAATATATGAAGAGCATTTAATAGCATTTTTACATTTATAATATTCAAGCTATAAGTTTCCTTTAAAGTTAAATTGTTTTTACTATATAACTTTTTCATATTGTTAAATTGAATGGTAATGGTAATGGTGTATTTGTGTTGTTTATTAGAATTAACTTTTAAGATTTTATTCCACGTGTTATTCAAGGTCATACTCCTAAATAACATCAATATCAGAGAGCAGCCGTGGCGCAGTGGTTAGAGTTCAGCAGCCGTATTCTCATCTCTCCGTTAAGCTTAACTGAGCTTTTGTCTGAAATTTCATTATAATATATCTAAGTAAAGAAATGACGAAAATCTTGTTTAAATTTTTTAAAATAAAACTAATACTAAAATAAAACATTTGTTTTTAAAAGTTTATATTTTTAAAGAACTTTTTTATAAAAATCTTTAAAAAGAAATTTTTTATTAACGCTCCGTTAAGCTTAACGGAGAGATGAGAATACGGTCCCTGGCTCATAACCTAGAGATCCAAGGTTCGACGCCAGGCCTAGCCCAACAAGCGACATTGGTACGGAAGGAGGCGTAAACTTCTTGTTAATTGCTCTCCCGCGGTGCTCTGTGATAAAGACTGAAAGGACTTCTGGGAGCACCTAAAATAACTACAAATATATATATATATATATATATTATATATATATATATATATATATATATATATATATATATATATATATATCACATCTCTATAAAGTCAAATTAAAGTACAGAGAATTAGTAAAATAGTAAAAAATATTTATCTAACTTTTTTCTTTAAATTGATGTTTCCTAATGGTATATATATATATATATATATATATATATATATATATATATATATATATATATATATATATATATATATATATATATATATATATATATATATATATATATATATATATATGTATATATATATATATATACATATATATATATATATATATATATATATATATATATATATATATATATATATATATATATATATATATATATATATATATATATATATATATATATATATATACATATATATACATTTGCTCAATGTTCTTAAAGAACAGAAAACTAAAAAACATTTATCTCTATATTTACAGAGAAATAAAAAACACTTATCTAATTTTTTAAATGTATCAATGATGCTTATTGAATTTAATAAACTTTTATTTCTTGAAAACAATTTTTTACGCATTTGCAAAGTGCGCGCAAATAAATGATAATTAATATGTAATGACCTAAATAATGATACTAAATAATAAATTTTTCTCGATTTAGTTCGCTTAATTTATTTAAAAATAAAAAAAACGTATAAACCTGAAAAAATTAAAACAAAAGGAACTAAAAACAAAATAAAAGTTGTTTTGCACGGTCGTTAAGATAATAGTGAATTAACGTTGGGAAAATTATTCCAATTGTTTAAAATGATACAGGTAATATGCAGAATGTTTCTAATTCACGTCTGTTAACAATTTCTGACAGCCTAGCCAATATTTTTGAGTACATAATAATGGAGCATATAAAAACAAATCATACAGTCCCGTCATTGCAATTTGGTTTCAGATCAAACAGTTCAACTAGTCATGCAATATTTGCTCTTACGGAATTAATCAGACATAATAAACCTTTGAAACTAAATACTTATGTTGTTTCAATTGATGCCTCAAAAGCATTTGATAAAGTGAACCGAATGACTTTATTAATGGAGCTAATTGATAAACTTGTTGATAAATCGTGGCTTGCGTTGTACGAATACTATCTGAATTCATTTGCGTTTGTAAGTATCGGTAATTACATATCTAACGTCTTTGTAACAAATGTAAGCGTTAAACAAGGTGGAACACTCTCGCCTCTTCTTTTTTCAATATATACTGAAGAACTTATGAAACAAGTGGAAAATGCATCACTTGGTGTTTGTATTAATAACTTAAAGCTTGGCATTTTAATGTATGATGATGATAATCTAGTAATTACCTCGCATGTTGAAGAATTAAATCTATTGCTTAAAACTTTTAAAGATTATGGTAGAAATTACCAATGCAATCCTCAAAAAACACAGTTAATAAAGTTTGGAATAAAAGCAAAGAGAAATAAAAAAGAAAATATAATGTTTTGTAACACCGCAATTGAACAGATAACCTCAATTGAATATCTTGAGTGATCATTTGAAATGACCTTAGAAGTAGTAACCATTGTAAACGAAGACAAAAAAAATTTCTATATGCATTTTGTGCAGCACGAAACTGGGGTTTGGATACATTTACTGATCCATCACTTAAAACACATCTATTTAAATGTTTTTGTAGAACAATATTGTATTATGGCGTTGGCGTTTGTCATCTAAACAAAAGTGAAATTCAACAACTTCAAACACTTGAATCAAATATGGCAGGCCTTGTTAAGAAGCGTTACACAGCTCGCATTTTGCCTGCGAAAAGGCGATTCAGCAGTTATGCGTTACGCAAAAACTTTTATCTTTTAGAATATTAAAGTCGTAAGTAAAAGCATTTAACCGCAATTGTAAACTAATAGATTTTTGGTTAAAGAAACAATATGTTTAATAACTTTTTTTTTGTTTTTAAAAATTACTTAAAGAAAATAAAGTGTTTTAAGTTTAAACTTTTCATCATATTTAATTTTAAATATTAGATTTCATAAGTTTATAAACAATCTAATTTAAAAAAAGAAATATTTTCAATTTATTTTATTAAATTTAAATATTTTTTTAATAATTATAGTTTTTAGTAAATAAATTTATTAAATTTATTTAAAATTCTTTCATTTAATTTTAAAACAGAGCATTTTAAAATTTTTTAATTTTAAAATGCTCCGTTTTTTTTATGATAAAATTACCAAAGTAAAAAAAGATTTAATAAATTTAATTCAAGTTACTTTAAAATGTTCGTATTACATATAACTTTATTTTAATTTTAGTTAAGTTTCAGGTAAGTTCCAAATACTGGTCTGAATAATGCGCTTAACAAAAGCGCATTATTTTCCAGTTTTTATTTTTCAATTATTTTACAGTTTCATTCATTATTTACAGAAGCGCATTATTCATTTTTTAAATCCAAGTTAATAAATGACGTCAATTTTTTTTTTTAAACTCGAGTTATAAATGTTATGTTTGGGTTTTCCCTTTGCCGTTTGCCGAAGAATTTTTTTTTATAAAACAAACCAAGGACGTATTAATAAACGTCCTTGAACAAACCAAAATTCAAACCTATTAAAAACAACGCGATGAGTAAATAAACTCTTTAAAAGCCCAACTTATCTTTATTTTATTTTAAAAACAAAACTAGTACTTGAGCTATAAATATAAGATACATAAGTTTCAAAATTATAATGATATTTGTTAAAAACAAATTCTGCTTATAACATCTTAAAACTGAAAGCACTATTTTTTTTTTGGCTTGAGTAAAAAAATATTAGGTTTATAATATTATACTGTACATAAAAATAAATTATTTTAATGGAAATAAAAAAAAAACAAAGCCGAAAAAGCAGTAAATTTCGTTTCTTTACAACATTTATTTTATTAGTGCAAACGTTTTTTTATAAGGGGAAAACTCAATCTATGCGTTTAGTTATAAGTACATTTAAATCCCTTTAAGAAAATCAACCATAAACAAGTGTTAAATTTAAATTATTAAAAAAAAAATAAAAAAAACAACCATAAAACGAATGTTTAAAAGCAAAAAAATTAAGTTTAAATAAGTATAAGAATTTAATACAAGAAGACTTTTTTTTAATCAACATTGAAATTTTTTTTTTTTTTATAACAACATTGTTCAATTTAAAGCTATTTCGTTTCAAAGACTAACAATAGTTTTTAATGTCATTTTAAATTTAATTACAATAAAGTGAAAACGCAACTGACGTAAATTAACTTTTAACAATTTATTGAGTAAAGTTACATTTATTCACGTTTCGCTTTTCCGTTACGCAGCGAAATCTCGTAACAAGGCCTGTATGGTAAAAGGCATAATGGGCATTTGTAGAAAAACCAGAAGTAGGGGAAAGCGGGGCAACATGGCGAATGGGGCAAGATGGGTTTTCATATAACAACTTAACAAAAAATTTAAAAATTGGGTGAAAACGAAACTGTGTTTGCATCTTGTATTTTAAAACACCAATTTGTTTTTTGAAATATTATTAACGCCATTTTATACAAATAAGTTTACTTTTTGCGCTTAAAAAAAATTCCTCACTTTCGGTTTCTCATAATGGTTAGTGTCCTTCAAATTTAACTTCTTTAGAAGTAGTTTTTGCAATTTGTGTTTATTTTTTGTTACTTTAATTAGAGTTATTGGCAGTTTTTAAAATTTTTTTATAAAATTGGAGGTAAAAACTGCATAATAAGTCATCTTGCCCCGGTCACGTGACCAGATGACAAATTTATGAACTTTTTATTTTAATATTTATTTCAAATTGTTATATTTGCAAACTGAAAATTTATGCAGGCAATGAAAGAAATTAATAACATAAACATACTGAGAAAGTATTATGGCTTCACGACTTATAGTTTTTCAATAACTCAGGGCTTTCAAAACGTTCGCCATGTTGCCCCGCTTTTCCCTATTTTTGGTTGCATTAAAAGTTGAAGCCACAAGATTAAAAATTGATATTGCCAAGTGTTTCTTGTATGAACAAAGAAGAACAGAGTCACAAGTGAAATAATTCTTTCGATTTATAATGAGAAGCGTAGCATTCCTGTCCAT